ATACTATAAATATGTTTAAAATAATTTACAAAATTAGTACAAAAAAGCGGTGTAAAAGATACTACTAATAATGACAGTTGAATAGACGAAGTATTCAATATAAACACAGTTAAAGTAACAGCAATAGTTACCAAACTAAGGAAGGAGAAAGTTGCCCAAGTAAAGCAGTTGATATCTCTTTAGAAGTGTGGACAGCGTGGGGAACAACAGAAATACACCGCTCCCGTTTCAATTTTTGTATGTAACATTTACCTTCCATCCAGTTCCTTAACTTCATATGAAAGATTTAAAAAGCTTATCTCCTCAAATCATTGTAGGTGATTTTAACGGTTATAACTTTATTTGACGTTCTAAGCGCACCGATCTAGAAAAGGTAATGCAGGATCTTCAATTAAATTTCCTAAATGATGGGTCACCTAAAAGATTAAACACCTGCACTGGAAAATCCTCCGTGGTAGATTTAAGCTTGTGTGATCTAGGTCTAGCTCCACGTCTCTCTTGGACTATTCTCGAGTATACTTATGGTAGCGACCATCACCCTATTACCATTGAGAATCTCTCAGGTCAACCTTGCCCAATATCTTTCTGGCCCAAATGAAATATAAATTCGGCTAAGTGGATCGATTTTGAAAATTATATAGAAAAGGATTTGGAGAGTCTTATACTGAATGATAATATAAACGATTCTTTAGGTACTTTTAATAGTGTCATCCTGCAGAGTGCGGAGCTCTTCATCAGCAAAACAAAGCCCATTAAATGTGCCTTGGTGGAATTCGAAGTGTAACAAAGCGGTATGTGCTAGCAGAACAGCTTTCAATAGATTTAAAAAGCATAAAACACTCGAAAATAAAATTAACTACAAAAAATGAAGGCTAGAGCTCAACGTTTAATAAATCAAACAAAAAAATCAAGTTGGGCCCAATATACCTCTAGCATTAACAGCTCCACTCCTGTAATAAAAGTATGGAAGAAAATACGTAAAATTTCTGGTATAAAGGAGTCATCCCCAATATCTAGTCTCCAAATTGGTAATCAAATTGTCACCTCTCCTTTTAAAATTGTTAACACATTAGCTAAAAACTATAGAAAAATGTCTTCCAAAATGAAAATTTTGACCCTGTATTTTTGGAAAATAAACTAGACGTGATTTTACCTCTCTCTAGAAAACTACAACATTCCATTAAACGATCCTCTCACGTTACAAGAACTAAACAACTCACTGAACGATCTAAAAGAAACAAGTCCTGGGCCTGACGAAATCCCAACTATTTTCTTAAAACACCTACTCACATCTGCTAAAAATGACATGCTTCAATTATTTAACTTCATATTGCAGCGACACCAGTAGTCATCTGTTTGGTCAAAATTTATCATTCTCCCATTTCTCAAAAGCCAAAAATCTCGTCTAGACCCCGATTGCTATAGACCAATAAGCCTAACTTGTGCAATGGGCAAACTGCTAGAAAAAATTATTAACTCGAGGCTGACTTGGCATCTAGAAAATTCGAACTTGCTTATAAACCAACAAAACGGTTTTCGACAAAACCGATCCGGGAGAGACAACATATTAGACCTGGAAAGTGATATTGATGAATATCTGACAACAAAACAGCATTTTAAAAAATTACAGTCATGGAACATTCGTGGAAATTGCCTTCATTTTATTAAGAACTTTCTAGAAAAGAGATCTTTTCGTGTAAGAGTTAACAACTACCATTCCGAAATGCAGGAGGAAGAAAATAGCATCACTAAAGGCTTAATTATTAGTCCTACATTTTCTTAATTGCTATTAATGACATAATTAAAAACCTCAAAAAACCTTTAAAAGCACGTTTATATGCAGATGACTTGGTGGTTTATGTACAAGGCAAAGATATTAATTTAACTTCAATAAATTTGCAAAGCTTCTTACAAAAACTCGTTCAGACTAAAGCCTTTGACACGGTAGAATTTGACAAAATGCTGGAAGTACTAACTACAAGCTTGCCGCATTGACTACCGATATACAAGGTAAATTTACGATACATACACGAACGCAACTATGTCAATGAAACTACATAAAAACACGTATCATATCCCAATCGGCAGAGGAGTTCGACAGGGTGATATCTTATCACCTAAACTGTTTACCGCATTACTAGAATATGCTTGTAAAAAACTTAACTGGGAAGAGAAAGGCCTGAACATTGACGGTTAAAGATAAACAAATTTGAAATTCGCAAACGACATAGTTTTTTTTCTCGGAAAACCTCAAGGAGATATGTACACTGCTACATAAACTTCAGTAAGTGTGTGCCAGTGTCGGTCTTAAAATAAACATCTCCAAAACAAAATTCATGACAAACCTAGTACGTAGCGGAAGTATCAATATTGGAGACAACGAAATAGAGATGGTGGAAAAATACTTATACCTTGGACACAAAATGAAAATCACAAGAGACACTAAAACATGCAAACTATGAAGAAGAATAAACCTAGCATGGGCAGCATGTGGAAAACTTAAAGACATTTTTAAAAGCGATATGCCAATTTCTTTAAATCGTAAAACATTTGACCAATGTGTGTTGCCTGTGATGACCCATAGTGCCGAAACTTTGAGATTGACAGCTATAACTTTTAAAACGCTGCAAATAGCTCAAAGGAAAATGGAAAGGTCAATACTGAGTATATCGCTTTGTGACTCGAGTTAGAAATGAAGACTTAAGACGAAGAATAGGAGTTACCGATGAGATTGCTTGAGTGGAGGCTTAGATAAAAGAAGTAAAGGAGGACTCCTTACTCATGGGACTGACGATCTCAAGAAAATGTTAAGAAATTGGATGAAAAGTGCTCAATATAGAGCACAATGGACAAAAATGAGAGAGGCCTATGCCCAGCAGTGGACGCAAAGGGCTGGGTGATGATGATGATGATGAAGTTTAGTTTTAATTGTTACAATAAAATGAAACTAAATGCCATACCATATAACCATTATACCTAATCATACCATATGGTACAAGCATTTTTTAACTTTTGTAGATAAATTTTCCAAAACAAATAGGAATTACATAAATATTAAAAAATAATAATAATTTGGGCGTTAGTGGTTTAACTAGTGGTATAAATTTAATTTTAATGATAAATATAATTTTATTAATAACTTTATTAATTAATATAGTGCTGTAGTTTTTAAATTGACATGAGAAGTTAAAAGCCTATATTAACATTCTTTTAATATTAACTTCTATACTTCTCAACCACGAGCATATAAGTTTTGGAACACCCTGTATAAGACAAAATTGTGTACAAATGATTATATTTAGTTTTAAGAAAGTTTATTCGCGAAATTGTGTATTAATGCCACAGAAACAGTAAAGTCCACATTAGAGAATAGGTAATTTAGATAAGAAAGTTGTTGTTTGAACTAAGTACCCAAAGCCGAGGTCGAGGGTAAATCTATGTAACAAAGGAATCGATTATTGACTTTTCAAGAAATACAGTTAACAGACATTATCGGTAGTTAAATAATACCTGGATATTATTATTTGTAAAGATAGAAAAAATACGTTTGATGTTTAGATTGGGATTAAAATAGCTGGAAATTTTGTTTTTTTTTTAAATCCCTAATGGCATTTTTAAAAAGAGAAAATAGTTTGGTAGAAAAATACGTCATGACTGAAAGTTGTTTTGATTGGCTAAAAATGATAAAGAGGAAAAGGAAGAACTGGAGAAGGAGTGAGAATGAATGAGAAGAAAAGGCAGTCTGTTTTGTTCGATTGAAAGGGATAGTCCTGTTTGGTAGTTAGTGTACGAAAAAAGGAAATTGCCGGTTTTTTGTTTGTCCAAAAGTGACCAGTGTAAGATAATTGGAACGAAGAATTAGGTCAAGTTGAGAGATAATACAACTCCTTGAATCTAAAGAATACAGGAATCGTTAAGTACTGTAAAAGGCGGGAATACTGCAGCAGAGAAAGCCGGAACGAGTGCAGGTACGAGGCATAGCAAGAAAAGGAAAACGAGGTGACAGCAAGCAGGGACATATTTGGGAAACGTGGACAAGTTTCCTTGGATCGCAACAGCAACAACTACGGAGAATTGTTTTTGGTATGAGGACATTTTCGAAGCTACAGTGAAAAGGTCAGTCTTAATTTGTTATGACAGAAATGAATGGTTTTGCGTATTAAATATCACAGTGCATATTTAAATAAACATTTCAATATTATAAATTTTTTTTAAATCTCAAGAAAAAGTTATCATTTAGACATCATTATAATTTCTTTTATCCGTAACATTGATAAATCAAAATATTTCATATAAAACTAATTTGGGTCACAAAAGAAAATAAGATTCATAGTTTTAATATTGGTAACATACAATAAAAGGTAAAGGAGTCAGTGATAAAACTTACATGATTAAACATTTAATATAAATTGATAAAATAAACGAATTTTGTTATTTCAACTTTGAAATTACTGTGTATTATTTATGTCGTTTTTACCTAACCTTTTATTAGGAAACCACTAAGAAATCTTTTTTGAACCTACGAAACAAAGTGAGTACTAAAATTATTAATTAGCCCTGAGATATATAATTTATATATTTTTTTTAATTTTGATTAATTAGATAGTTAGTAAATTAATGAATTGGAGTAAATTGTTTTCACAAGTAAAAATAGAGTCAAAAATAGAGCACAACAATTGATATCAATACAGAACAGTATTCTGTATTGCTATCTTGAACCAAACGGCGTATTTAACAGATACATAGTTGTAGGTGTAGTCATTAATTGTGATTGCTATTGGTGGGTATAGCAGCAGCAGCCGCCCGACAGACATGGACCATTCGCTTGGGTCGAAACAAAACACCATTATCCATCTCTACAGTTGAATCGGTCTCGAGAATACGAGAATCAAGTAGTAGACTGGTCAAGTGGTCAGATACTCTCTCTCAAGTCTTTGTTTCTATTCGCTATTATTCAAAGCTGACCGGGCGCGAGTGACAGGTGCACTTGTTTTGTTTTTCCGAGCGTGCAATATGTGATATTTGCAGATTCGGTTGTTTACGCTTTGGATGGATTACTACTCTTGTTTTTTTTTTTCGTCCGGTGAGACAGGATGCGTATCGACGGTTCGATCGGGACGTGATTTGTGAAGCTGTGATTTATTGCGTTTGTTTGGTTTGTTGACATTCATTTTAACATTAATCACATTGTATACGGTAATAGCTACAGAATTAAAACGGTTCTTTCCTTGTAAATATCATTGATAACGTGATTTATTTCATTTTTCGCCTATTCGGTGTATTTATCGGAGAAAGGCACTAATGCGTAATTTTACATCTTAACGATCAAATGTTTTTTAATACATCCTTTATTTATTGTAATCTCTTTCTACAAATAAAAAAACAATAATCATTAAGTTTATCACGTAATTAACACAGGGGAGATCTGTCCAATGACAAAAATCCTTTAAGATAAATTTCTCTATTTATACAGCCCTAAACATCCATCCTTGGATATAGGCCTCCTCCTCCTTCTTCCATGCCTCTCTATCTTGGGCAATTTGCATCCATTTTGACCGGCGTGTTTCTTTAGGTCATCTGACCATCGCATTTGTGGTCTTTCCCCTTTTTCGTTTGTGATTCCATGGTCTCCAATGTATAATCGTCTTAGTCCATCTTTCATCTTTCTGCCTTAGGGTGTGTCCGGCGAACTTCCATTTAAGCTTTGCTACTTGGGTTGAGACATCTTTCACTTTTGTTTTATTACGGATCCATTCGTTTTTTTTCTGTCTGATAGTTTAATGTTCAGCATTTGTCTTTCCATGGATCTTTCTGTCTTTGCTATTTTTCCCATATTTTCCTTTGTAAACCATGTCTGAGAGTCATATGTGAGGACAGGGAGTATACATTGATTGAAAACTCTCGTTTTTAGGTATTGGGGTATTTTGAATTCTTTAGAATATAAGACAGTTTTCCGAATGATGCCCAGGCCAATCTTATTCTTCTCTTTATTTCTTCGGTCTGATTTTCTTTATTTAATTTAGTGATTTGGCCTAGATATATATACTCTTTTACTTTTTCTATTCTTGTTTGTGCCACTGTAATTATTAGTTCTTCTGGTTGATTAGTCATGGTTTTTGTTTTACTGTAATTCATCTTGAGTCCAATTTTTGTCGATTCTCTATCTAGTTCTTCCATCATTCTTTGTAACTCTTCACTTTTTTCTGTTATTAATACAATATCATCAGCATATCGTAATAATTCAGATTTTGCCCGTTTATGTTAATTCCCAAGCCATCCCAGTGTAGTCGTTTGAAAACATCTTCTAGCGCTTGGTTGAATAGCTTGGGCGAGATGGTATCTCCTTGTCTTACTCCTTGGTTTATTTTAATAGGCTCAGTTTGTTTCATTAGCTTAATAGTTGTTGTTGCCTTGTTGTATATATTTGTAATTAAGTCGGTATATCGGTAGTCTATTCTGCTGTTTTGTAGGGAATTCTGTACTGCCCCGTGTTCCACACTAACTAAATGCACGAACAAATACTACCATGTCGGGATAGTATTATGAGGTTTTTTTCCTGGTTTTTCCCTCATAATTTACTATGGAATCACTAACAGGAGAATTTTACTGTCATCATGTCATGTGTTTGTCTTTTAAAAGACGAATTACATGCTATGATTTTTTTCTGACGGATATTCTCAAGTTAAAGTTGATTTCATGTAATCGAATGAACTATCTTATAAGTAAAGTCGTCCCAGGAGCGCAACTCAACAATATTGGCAATATCATTTTAAAGTCGTCTACTTTAAAATGCATAATGTATGTCTGAATTGTCAATATAAATGAGTCAGATAAAATTAAATTATTAGAGAATTTTTCACTATGTAACAAAAACAAAATTTGTTTAATTTACTGTTTGTATTTTGAGAACGATTTCCGAAGTGGAAATTGAAACGTCAATAAACGTATTTTTATCTTTAATTGTGGCTTATTCCCAGTTAAATAGAAATTATTTTGTATAACTTTGATAAAATGAATCGCAGAATGTCATAAACATAATAGCGATAAATCAAAGCGATTGTTGGATAGCCCAAAATTAACGAAATGCCCCTGAGATGATCTAGGAAAGTACTTGGTCAAGATTTAATTAAAAACGATGCTCGATATCTGCCTTTTATTTTATCAAAGTTCATTTATTCGAGCATTCAACCTTATATCTATTTTGTATAAATCTACTTATAGTTCAATTTTTTGTTTTTTTTTTCAATTCTCTAACGACAACTAAATAAGGTGTTCTACAAAATTTTCGTTAAAAAATCCAATCTTTAAATCAGCTATGTATGTATTTGCAGCATAAATCTTACACGTTCATCGTGATATTTATTGAATCTGTGTTTCGCTGTAAATACTTTGAGCCATATTAAATTCTTTGTCTTTTCTTTTATTCTGAACTCAGTTCTTTGACTTTCAGTGTATTGACTTTTTTATATTAATAAATATTTTCTAGCCTTATATGAATGATTCCGCAAGTCCATTTTAGTTTTCCTGATACAAAATTATTAAAAATTACGTCATCTTCAACTTGTAAAAAGCCTGTAGCAAGCGACACATGTTATGCATTTTACATGGGATCTGTTTAGCTCATGTCAAGATATGTTTTATCGATATTTTATCGAATATATCTGATCCATTTTAATGTTAGTATATTTCGTTTTCCTCGCACATCCGCTATATTGAAGTTATTTACTTTTTTGCTGTTTTTTAATGTAAAATATGACAGGATGATAATATCTGCCAGACTATAAATGGCTATAGCTATAACAATAACGGCTTTGACGTTTCAATAAATTAGTATTGTTGGTATCTATTTAAAGTTTCCTTCAGTTTTAATCACAAGACTCTTTCTTAAATTTATAAAAATCCTACCCTCTTCGAGATAATCAAGGCGTTTTTTTTTTATTTATTTTGCTTCAACCAATTAGGGTTGAACCCAAACTGACATCATCTATTCCTTCTTCCAGTTTTTTATTTATACGACCATGTATTATTTTCAAGAATAATTTGAGAATGTGACTTATTAGTGATATTATTCTGTATTCACTGCAATATTTAGCGTTTGTATTTTTAGGGATAGCACAAAAGGTGGAGAGTAACCATTGTTTCGGTATGTGTCCTGTTTTGTATACTGAATTAAATAAATTTACTTAAATGTGTAAGGTTTCATCAATTATGCATTTTAAGATTTCTATATGGATTTGGTCTGGACCTAATGCTTTACCATTTGTGCTGTTTTTTAATGCCATTTTAATTTCCTTTTTTAATATCTTTAAAACCATATCCTCTTCTACTTCTATCTCCATCTATTCTGTTCTATTGTCTTTGAACAGTTCATTGATGTATTCTGTCCATAGTCCAAAGTTCTTACATAGGCATATACAAAATATCAATTACATAATAATGTATACAATATATAAAATATTTTAATTATTGATATATTGTATTAAATTTTATTAAAAAAGTTTATAGATTTCAAGAATTCGATCAAGTCAGCTACGTATTTAGATTCTCATAGAAGTTCTTTTAATGTTTTTGGAATGTGGTGATATAGTCTTTCAACTGAGTATATTGGACAGTCAATTAAAATGTGCTTTACTGTCACTTTACATTCACAAACAAAACACACTGGTTCCTCTTTTCTCTTCAACAAGTATTCATGTGTTGTAGAAGTGTGTCCTAATCTGAGACGTGTTATTAGGACTTGATGTTGTCGCTTTGAAGGCCAGAAGTTCCATGGACGGAAGATTTTATTTCTATCAATTTAGTGTTGCTTCTATTCCATTGATGTTGCCAAACATCGTGCAATTTTGATTTTAAGTAAGATTTTAAATCTAAATGCTTCGTTAGATTTTCGACTGATGCGGCTGTATTGGTTACTGCGGACCTAGCTAGACTATCTGCTTTTCGTTACCATCTATTCCAACGTGTGACGGTACCCAGAGGAACTCTACAGTCAAATTGTTTTGGTGTATATGGTATAAAATTAACTTAATCTGCTGTAATGTTGAATGAGAAGGATAAATCTGAGAAATTGATGTCAGACAAGTGAATAAGATAGATCTTTGAGAAGTTTTTTTTCTAGAATAAAGGTTAGAGCCTTATTGATGGCAAATAGTTCTGCTGTAAATATAGTTGTGTTAGGAGACAATTTACAGATGGGATGTTCATTTGATATTACAAAGCATACTCCTACTCCATTAAAGGTCTTAGATGCGTCCGTGAATTAAGGTGTTCCATACTTAAAATTCACCCTGTAGATTGTGAATAAAGAGAAAGACAACAGTATTATTTTAAAAGTATAAAAAAGGCTTTCATTTTTTATGTTTAAAAAGATTTGTAGGTACTTTTGAACAGACTATACATACAGTGATTTAAAGTCGAGGAATTTTTACACTCCAAAATCACTATTAGTTCGCTCATTCAATTTTTGAAATCTCAAAAGGCCAAATAAGGCCAAAAAAAACAAGATTACCCTTGTTAATGTCGGCAGCATTATTTTTTTCTTCAGTTTTGAGTACTAAACAACGAAAAAAAATCATTTTAGCTTATTTAGAATTTTAAGGAAGAAGATAATTTGACATGAGATTTTTCGAAAATTATGAGGTTTTTCGATATCAAGTAAATCAAAATAAGGGTGGAAAAATAAATATTTTAATATAAAAAGATACAGTGTATTTGGATATAAAAAGATAATTTTTTACCAAATTTCGTAAAAAAAAATCTTCTTCTTCTTCAAGTTCCACTCCTATCGGAGATTGGAAATCATTCTGGCAATTATAATTTTATTGGTTACTCGCCTGAATAGTTCAATTGAACTGCATCCAAACCATTCACGGAGATTGCGTAGCCACGAGATTTTACGTCTTCCTAAGCTTCTTCTACCTTTGATTTTACCCTGCATTATATTCCTTATAGTTCGTACTTTTCACCTTCATGATGTGCCCCAAGTATTCCAATTTCTGATTTTTATGGAATTTAAACTTCGCATTGTTTTCCTAGTTGTTCGAGAACTTGTTCGTTTGTTTTGCGATCCATCCATGATATTTTCAAAATACGTCGGTAACACCACATTTCGAATGCTTCTAGGTTTTTAATGTTGGATTTTTTAAGTGTCCAAGC